AGTAGATAAAGAAGACACAAATTTAACGTGGTTCGGTCAAAGTGACCTACGTCCACAAGCGGAGAGAGCAATTTACTAAAACAATAAGAGTACAAAAGAGAGTACAAAATTAGAGTAAACACTCTAATTAATCCCAAATACCCTAAGAGAATAACCTCACAAGATTTCTCCAAAGAAAGGGTTCACACAAATGCTTCCCAACACTAACTCTCATACAAAACACTCTTAATAAAGGAAGAAAGGAAGAAACAGGAATTGAAGACAAGTCTTGTTGGTGTGGATGCTCATGCTTATGTGAGATGGACTCCATTAGCCAAAATATTGGCCATAATTACACTTTCCTTTCACAGATGCACATATCCTTCACCATTAACAAAAAAATAAAAGTGCAAAGACCGAGTTATCTATTCCTACCATCTAGATTTGTCGAATTCCAGATCGATGTAATCAAATATCAAAGCTGACGATATATTCAATTGTTGCTATTAATGCAAAGATTTGCTAGAACAATTCATCAAAATATACGTTATGAAACATGGAGGAAAGCAAAATAATTAATTACCACTATTAAGATAAAAAGTAGAGGAAGGCCAGCCGCGGAATGTAGCGAGAGACATAGTTTCCTCTTCGGAAAGCGTATTGGAGAGCTTATGAACGAGATCAGCTATACCATAGGAACTACGTCGAGGTGGGACCCAGTAAGAAGCACCAGGACAGAAAGGAAGCCAATCGGGAGCAGATCGCCGTACAATGATACAATGAATAGCGTCCTCGATCCTCTGCACCGCCACAGCCTCCGCCTCCGACGTGTCAGATGCCACGTGTCTGTCCGGCTGAGTGGATTCGCACCTACAAGCTACGAGGCGAACAGCATCTCGGCGGCTGGCTGTGGATGGGGCGGTGGTGGTTCGGATCAGATTTAGGGCTTGAGCAATGGAACGGGCCATGAGATAAGAGAAATTGCAAGGCAATCGGGGAAAAGAACTTATAAATATACAGAAAAAGGAGTAGATCTCACTTTTGGAGAGGATGCGGATGACTCGATACAGAAAAATGGCTCCGGGCAATTTATCAGAGCTAAAGTTTGGCGGTGTACGGTTACAATCCACATTTGTTTGGATTGGGCTCATCTACATTTCTAGGCCCATATCCTTCCTTCAATTACAATATGGTTATTGTAATACGGAAATAAAATAGAACAATTAACTAGAATAGCAGCCCATTTCAGCAATAAAATAAATGGTAGAGTTATTTAGTGTATATACTTTATTGATTGATGTTTAATTTATTGAACAAGAATATAAAAAGCAATATAAAACATTTATTTAATTTATATTAAATAAATAAAGTTGGATAAGCTTTTAATTTTTATTTGAACTTTAACTTTCTTAAAAGACTTTCGGAGAAGAACTTTGAAAAATGACAAATGTGTTATTCTGTTCTTTTATTTGGGGATTAGTCACCTTAGGATTGTTATCTTATACTATAAAGTATGATATTATACCACAACAGTAATATAAACAATGCCTAAGTTTTACAAAAGAAAAATTCATCCAATTAATTTAAAGTAAAATTTAACCCACCGAATTAACGAAGATAAAATTTAAAGAGGAGTCACAGAAAAAGAGTGTTAGACACACATTGTGGCCTTGTATTTAGAAGTTAATAATTATAACAAAAATTAACTAATTTGTCCGAAAAATAGTTTTGAATTTTGAAACTTCAGACGAGGTAACTATTTTATTATTTCGTCACTGATCTAATGTCAAAAAGCAGTCATTTTAAATATAAGATCACATAAATTGCAGAATTATGATACTCTTTGAGGCGGTCTTTAACTTTTGATATACCGCTTGCTTTATGAGCAGAAATTCAACGTCAAAAGTGTTGTCCATGGGACAAGCAAAGTGTTGTCCATAGTTAAACTTGAAGTTGTAAGTATGGAACAAATAAGTACAAAAATTTAAAACTATCCATTTGAGGGCTATTGGTGCACTTCACCCTAATTGACCATTGGTGAAAATCAGCTAAAAACATATGGGCCGAACCCATTAGTCTTTCCATTTTTTCCTTCACCATTCTACCAAATACAGTGCTAAAACCAAAAAGGTGTATACAGTAAGATAGAAAGTCAATCCCCCGGAAGGCGGACAGAGAGCAACAGCAGAGCTGCTAAGGGGTTAGGGTTTCAGATCTCGGTAAAACCTTTTGGGAAGAAATGGCGTTGAGAAACTTGTACAAGGAGATAAAAGGTATGAAGGTGAAGGAGGTGCCGGCGCACCTAAAGCCGATGCTATCTATCGATTACGCGAAGAATGCTATCAAAAAGGGATTGGATAATTACCATGCCAAGTACATTGAAACTAGTTCCGTTGACCCTCTCCTCCACGTCTGTTTTGGAGGCATGATTTTCTCCTACCTCGTTGCCCTTCCAGAAGAGCGACGCCACCTCGAGCACAAACAGCACGGCAGTCATTGATTGTCGCCTTCCGATTTTCTAAGGTACGTATAGTTCGTTGATTCTATGTTTTTCTCTTGATGCAATTACAACTTTTCTGATTCATTTCTGTACCGGATCTGTAGGTTTTGTATTCCAGATTATAGGGATTTCATTAGATTGTGTATGTTACTGCCTTATGTTGAGAATATAATCTTCCTACAGTTGAATATTGCTAATGTTCTAATTTGTAAAGGCAGTTGAGATGAGTTTGTGAGGTTAAATTCTAAAAAGAGGATGGTTGAAAACTTGAAATGGAGAATTGCTATCTGAGTCTTCAGCGATAAGTAGATACCTACTAAATCGAAAAGCAATTCCCATAGAATGGTTGTAAATTCGACAATATTATATTAAAGTAAGTGTTGAGATTTTAAAATCTTAACATATGAATAAGATGAGGGTCATAGAAATGGGGATGTTAAAATAGATGCTTAGTCATACCTGATTAGACAAGATTAGAAATGAATGTATTTTACTTATGAATGCATTTAACAACACAGATAGAGGATAAAATGAGTGCATTTAACAGCACACATGACAAGATTAGAAATGAATGCATTTAATAATAAACATAGAGAATAAAATGGGTGAACATCACCTGAAATAGTTTAGTCATGTCTTATACACACCTTCGCATGCACCATTCCACATACTATGATGGTTGAGGGTATTGAATGGGATCAGGTATCACGTAGAAAAAGTTGTCATAGAAAATCAGAAATTCTGTGGAATCCATGAGAGGTTAACCGAACAATAGAGCACAATGAAGAAACATCCGTATAAGCTAATACCAATTAGTTGAGATTAGTGTTTACTCTTGTTTGTAGGTTCAAATTAGTCCAACGATTTCTTATTCTTGTTGAGAAATTTGTATGTTAGTAGAAAATGTAGATAACTTGTAGGAGTTAGAGAAGTTAAGTGTTGGAATGAGACAGATCCAAAGAAGGAAAAGGAATAGAGAATTCAAATAGCCAACTTCGATTAGCTTGGAACTCAGGTTTAATTGTTCACTATGTACCCAAGCAGATGTCTTGGGCTTCATTCTACATTTCTACTTAAATCTGCAAAACACTTCTGATGCTACTTATTGCTTGGCTACCATTTTTAGGGAGATTCAGCTGGCGATTATATGGGCTAGAAGTATTCAGTCATATCTTATACTGATAAATATAATGGAAAAACCTTACGTTCAATAAACAACTTGTTCATGTGTTAAGTGTTCGCAAAGTATATGAATTTTTAAGATCAAACTAGTCTGTTGGGGTTAATCACTTCTGGTGGAGGAAATACGTGCAAGTAGGGTCGCAAACGGTCGGGTTGGGTCGGGTATGAGACGGGTCGAAAACGGGTAATGCAAAAACGGATAAATTATCTGACCCGACCTAATTGGATATCCATATTATCCATGGCTTTTTTAATATGATTACTTTTGGGATAATTCTTAGTCTCTCAAATTTGAGAACCCTCAATTTGAGACTTTTCAAATATAAAAGTTAAACCCATTAGTTATTCATTTTCTAAGTGGATAATATGATTCTTATTCATATTTAACCCGTTTTTAAAAAGTTTATTATCCAACCCATTTGTAAATGAATAATATGGGTGGATAATTGAATTTTTTTATCCATTTTACCACCACTACACTACGTGCGAAGTTTACTGAATATGGTCGCTTTGAAACACCTTAAACAGAGCTGATCAGTGTTTCATCCTGGGGTATGCTTTTTTATAAATAAGGATCAGGGTCGTAAACGAGAGTGGACCTATTTGTGAATCATGAGAAATTAATGTCTATACTTCTATAAGTACGTCTACTCAAATGATAATATATTGGTTGTTTTCTCAGAATAACTATATTAGGGTAAGTCCTAATACTTTTATCAGGTTATTAATGTGAATTATGAAAGGTTACTAGTGTGAATTGTGAAAGATGTTTCGGAGCTGTAGCTTGATTTGGAGCATGTGTATTGTTTGAGCTCGAGAACTAGCTCAACTCATATAGATGCCACTTCCTCTTAGAAGGGAACTGAAAGATTTGGAAATTATGTTTATCTGTACAGTAGGTAATTAATGTCCGGAGCGCCTGTTAACTTAGCTGGAGCATACATAACTCATATTTTAACAAATTATTTTGTCTTTGTTGACAGATTTCTTGGGAGACTGAGTGGATGGGTCCAGTGAAGGACAAACATCTGTTGGTTGCTTTTACTCTTTCGCCGGTAAAATTGGTGTACCCAATGAGATAACTCATTTTATACAATACAATGGCTTATTAATTTAATAAAATGTAACCAAGTACATTTTCCCTTGGCTTGTGGACGGTATAGCATGTGCATTACCGAAATAGAGGCAGGATTTTCTTTTCCTTCACCCATTTACAGATCTGTCTCCTTGCTCTAACAATTAAGTTCGGAGTAAAAGCAACTGCTGCTCGGCTAAAGACGGGGAAGAGGCTTTAACCCAAGCCTAGGCCTCGTAGCAATTGCCTTAGCGACTTCTATGATTAATGGAAGAGGGTACATGATAGATAACTATAACGAAACAATGAAAGGTACACCAACTATTTACAACACATTACTCAAGTGAAAGTAGACGTACATAAATTTTGAAACTAAGCTTAGCTTACAAGGCCTACCCATTGTCAAGTATTTGTTTCATCAGAGTTCCTCCGCATGATGTCCAGAGTCTTTATCTCCAAAGGAGAATGTTCTTTTTACCTTATTCTTTGTTTTCTGCACTGCGTCCCCAGCTAATTTTGCGGCTGATTTGGCGGAATCTTCCATTGCCTCTTTACTCTTGTCAAGGCTCTTTATCATTGCTTCTTTCACCTTTTCACCTGCTCCTTCCTCCTTGCCTTGTGCTTCTTGACTATCTCGGAAACTGCGCATTTTCCTCACAAGTCAGTCGCAAACAAGTTCTAACTTTGGAAAAAAGAAACAATAGACGAGTGTTGTAGACTTGAAATAAATAGATAAATACATGTCTTTGATAAATTGATTGAGATGTGCATGAGTGGATATAGGGTTGCGATAACTTACTCAAGAGTTGGAGGGGAGAAGTAGGCCTTGCATTGTTTGATGAGTGAATTGAATTTGCTCCAATAACTGGTTGAAGTTTGAGGAAGAGTAGTGGGGAAAGAAAACATTCTCTTGACCGTCTCTATAATGGGAGTTTTCTGAGCCTTGGCCTCCATGTGAAGTTGTTCTTGAAGCTGTTGTGCTTCTTCTTCTTGTCCTCCTCCGACGGTACTGCCAACAGTTGCTGCTGCAGTTGTGCAGCGGAAGGATATGATTAACAACAATAAGAGAAGGAACAAGGAGGAGTAGGTCCTAAAATGAAGATAGCTGCTCTCCATGTTGTTGCCAAATGAGGTTTGAGGCTTTTGGATAAATCACAGAAATTTATAGTAATTTGAATCAATAGTTGTGCTCTAATTATACAACCGTTGAAGCCTCTCCCAAATTGCTATTTTATTGTTGGTCGACACGTTTCATGAATGCTGATTTGGTAGTGCTAATTATACATCATACGTGGATGCTAGGTGTTGCTACCACTTGGCATAGACGTGGACTATCACGTGGCACTTGAGAAAATACATGGACAAATTATTAGAATGCGTGTTTGAATTTCCTGATTAGAAAGCTAACGGGGCAAGTGCAATATAACTATTCTGATGATGTTATTTAGAGATTAGTTAGTATTTATTTTGTCCTAAAATTTTAAATTAAAAATTTTTAACTTACAATTTAAGGTATTTTTATCTTAAAAAATTAAACTGAAAAACTAAAATTCAAGATTAATTGGCTAATTATAAAATAGCAATCTTATAAAGTGGCAACCTGGTATCATTCTATAAGCTTAGGGTCGTGACGATATGGTTGCAACTAGGGGTGTACGAAGAAAATCAATAAATCGCACCAAATCGATAATCCGAGTCAAACCGGAAAAATAACCCTATTGTGGTTTGGCATTGAAAAATAAATTCGATTATAATTGGGTTGGTTTGGTTTTAACTAAAAAAAGTCAAACTAAAATCAAACCAACCCGATAATATATTTATATAATTTTTAAAAATATTTTATACATAATATTTATTTTAATGTAATTTATAAATTTCTTAATTTATTTTTTCACGGTTTTATCTTTTAACGTATTATTTCAAGTTTGGACTTAACATTCTTGAATGGTAAATAAATTTTATAACTCATAAATGTAGTAACTCAAACAAAGTTCAAATCAATACTAATGCTAACAAAAGAAATTCAATTCAACATTAGGAATAATGATAGTGTTGGATATCTAATTTTTAGTTTTACATTAGTTTATATTGAAAATACACAACTTAGTTTATCTTTTTCTTCGGTGCTTAGTTATGTAATTAATAGTACTTATTAGCAATACTTATTTTAGCATAACCTATATAATATTTTTAGATAATGTTAATTTTTATTATGGATTATTAATTAGCATTATTTACTTTATGTAATTTTATTATTTTTGGTATTGAATATTTTAGTATAATGCTATGACTTATCTCATATTATTGTGCTACTTTCTTGAAAAATATATTATATAGTTGTACCTTACTAGGACTAAAGAAATATTTGGAGTACAAGTTATATATTTTGTGCTATGAAAACTTTAACGGGAAAAAACCCAAAAATCCGAAACCCCCCNATTTGGTTTGGTAATAAAAAAATCTGAACCAACCCGGCCTATATACACATCTAGTTGCAACTCTACTCTTCATCTTCATGGAGACTAACAAAATGAATCCCAAAAAATATGAAAATACGAGACTTCGTTTTGGCATATACCAATCTACACAATACACATCATTGAAAACTTTTTCATGTTTCGTTTTATTTGTTTGCTCAAGTATAAATAAGATCCAATTATACAAGGATGGCTTCATGAGTCATTATTATGCTAAAAGATACATGTGGAATTTGCTATATCGTCGTCTACTATACTCAATAATGTTGAATTGAGCAACCATGATTTGATTACTTTTTCTCCAATTTTCTTCCCCTTGTAGCTATATGTTTCGCATTAGAATAACTAAAGAGTGAAAATTAAAGGTAACAGGATGTCAACCATTAAAGGAAAGGCTCGGCAGTTGTAGGAAAAGGCTTTCGGAGATCGAGATATTTTATTTTTTTCACCAAAACGAAGATGGCCAAGCTCCCTGTCCTCCTTTTCACCGAAAATGAATAGATGAATTAATATATTTATTGAATCTGTCGGGACTGAGGGCTTGAACCCGCAGCTTCCACCTTGACAAGGCGGTACTCTAATCGATTGAACTATAATCCCAGGAAAACTAGGCGTACATCCTAAAATCAGAACCATTTAGTTTCATTTTGTTGTAACAGAGACATGCCACGAATGATATACTTTATTATTATTATTATCTAATTATTATTAAGCAATAGTAGTACTAGCAAGTAAAGATCAAGCCTACATATGTACATACATCAGAATTTAGAATAATCAATCATATGTCAAGCTAAGTCTAGTCTGTTTACAGGACCCAATTTCACCTATTCTGCCCTCTCAAAACTAGAAACGTACAGGCGTTGTGCATCAGTTGGTTGACTCTATTTTCCTCTAGAAGACCAGAAATATACATTGTCAATTCTTCAGATCCAATACTAAGGCCAAACTACCAGCTTCTATGTCTTTTACTATGCAAAGCACTACATCTCTAGCTGATACAAGTGGGACTGATATTTACATTACATGCATTTGTCATGTAAAGCAGCAGCATTTCGGAATCTCCTGCCCATTCTCCTAACACTGAATCACAAGCTCCACAAGAAACAAATCTCCATCAAATCTCAATCCAGAGGATTCGGCAGGCTGCAGCAAACCATCCACCATACCACCAAAAATATAGAAGTTACGACCTGAAGAATCTACACAAGCTCGGTGAAATGATCTGCCTCCAGGGTTATCACCTTTGGACTTGAGCCGTCTCCACAGTTTAGTCTTTGATCGCTCCAGATTTGAAGGAGTCCCAGACTGCATAATGGATGTCACTAAGCCGATATCCAACACCCAAAAATCATCTTTTCTGTGTCTGTAGGAATCTTCTCCTCCGTGGATTAATAGTCGGCCACCTATGATGAGATTGGCTGAGTGACCAACTCTTGGCAAGGCCAATCCTTGGGGTATATTTTGCAAGTCAAATAGTAACTGTACCCATCTCCAGTGACCTTCAGATGTATTAAAGAGCCATACATCATTAAGCACCTCATACCCCAAACCCCTCCCACCGAACAAAATTGTTTGGTTTCCTCCAACATGGGTCAATGTATGCCCAGAGCGAGATGGAGGAGACGGATGAGTCACAATTTCTTGCCAAACTCCAAGATGAAGATTCTCAGCCAGTTCTAAGACCCATGTATCTCCCAGTCGCAAGCCATTCAAACCAATTCCACCTTGAATCAGCATCCTCCTTTTATCAATGCTACATGCAGCATGAGCGCCTCTTGGTGGAGGCGCAATGGAACCGACATCAAGTAGCCTCCAGGACAATGTGATACCAAATGTATCATGTACCGCTACTTGACCAACCCACGTATCATTTTGGCGGGCGCCATGATCATTTATTCCTCCAAAAAGGACTAGACAATCACCAATCACAACACATGAATGACCAAAGCGGCCACTTGGGATCCCTGATTCAATCTTGTTCCACTTCAATATTCTCTTGAAGTCATTGCCAACATATGCTACCCATGTATCATCCAGATGCTTTCCTAAAGTATAGGACAAATAACACCACTTTAGGAAGAAATATTACTGATATGAAGCCACGATTATCTACAGACAAACATCAGATAGCCAATTACTGCATATGAACCCACAATAATCTACAAAACTAATTTTATAATATGTATGCTATTCATTTTATAATATGTATGCTATTCGCACCCAAGGGTGTGGCCTAGTGGTCAATGAAGTGGGTGAGAACCATGAGGTCTCAGGTTCAAATCCATACTAGGTGATTTCTTCCCATCTATCCAAGCCTTGGTGGATAGAGTTACCTGGTACCTGTTACTGGTGGGAGGTGACAGGTATCCCGTGGAATTAGTCGAGGTGCGCGCAAGCTGGTCCGGACACCACGGTTATCAAAAAAAATAAAATATGTATGCTATTCAGTGTTTAGATGTTTGCTGTCATCTGAATTTAAGTTTTCGCAGGAAGTCGTGAAAGACGTCTTACTGTGATCCATGTCTAATGTTAGTTCATTTCTCCCCTTAAGCTAACTCTTTCACGATCTTTTCAAAATTTCTCTCAGTAACTTTTAATTAGAAAAATACAGCGTAATTTATACATCTATCCCAAGAACATATAAAAGTTTTAGAACTTCTCACAAGCTTGCATGTGGTGCTTCAGCCTTCATCTGTAAAGTAAAGCCAAGACACTGATCACATGAATTTCATTCAACCTGGTCCATTAAATAGCCAGAACAATAGTATCCTTCCCAGCGTATCTGAAAACCTAAGTAAATATAAAGACCTCAGCAGTACCCTGATTTGTTTTCTTCAAATGGAGCAGCCTATGAAGAACTGAAATGAGAGAAAAAATCTAAGCTTGAACTAATCAAGAGAAAAATACCTTTTGAGCTAGTAAAAGAAAACAACTAATCAAGAGATAGGGAAGGTGCTAGAGTATCATGTACGGGTTTGGAAGACCTCAGTAGCTTTTGCTTAGACCAGTATTTGTATTATGAAATTCATTAAATATGTATAATTTAATTGCAAACCTAGTAAGTAAGGCGATCTATAGATTCGGTGGCAATTTACAACCCATAAACTTCATATCCTTACTCCGCCTCGATCAAAGAAAATATCCTTACTAGATCACCATAAAATGCTGAGCTAGTAAAAGAATACAAGCACAATGACTTACACAAAGGTGAAGTATATGCTCCATCTGAGCATTAATCAATAAAACCATGAGCACAAGCAAAAATGATAGTAATATGAAACTGAATTAACCGAGTTTATCAAAATCTTATAACACTTCGACTTAATGGTTCAGTTATGTAATATCCCACTTTCATTTCTTTTTCAGCAGAGGAGGAACCAAGATCCTTGGAAATGCAGTACAAAGATTAATGAACAAATCAACCATTTCAGAGTTATGACAAGTTTAGAAAAGAAATCAAAATCCATTAAAATTGAAGACTTAAAGAGATAGAGAATACTGACTAACCTCCCTCACAACCCCCACCAAATAGAACTAAACAGCCAGAGACAAAATTGAGAGAATGAGAAGCTCTAGGCCGAGGAAGCAGCAGCTCTTCATCTCCTCCTTTTGGATGTGTTGTCAAGAGTCTGTTACAGTAGACAGAATCCAATTGGTAGATTTGCTGGTACAGCTTCTTCCAAGGAAATTG